GAGGAGTAGCTAGAGTTTAAAAGAGGATTGTTTCTTATTGAAGTAGAGATATTATCATTATACGCAAAGATTTTAACCAATTCTTTGGCGGTGAGCCATATGGACCTTTCTTTTGGAGGTAGTTCATTAGCAATAGCATATAGGATGGGTATGGGGGTGGATGGGGTTAGACCTAGGCATCTCCGTAGAAATTTGTTTTGGAGCGTACATATTTTCTTAACAGCAGACTTAGAACAGTTGGCAGTAGTGGTACTACAATACTCAATTTTCGATCTAACCAGAGCTTTGTACAAATTTAGAGCTTTTTGCGGATGAAGGCCTGATTTAATATTTGTAAGATATTTAAAAAGTTTTATGTTGTTTGCTGATGCCTCACAAATTTTTGAGTAATGATTTTTGATAGTCAGCGAACTGTTTATGGTTCTTCCGAGTACCTTGAGTTCATTAACTTGCGTCAGCCTTATGCCATTAATATTTATGACAATGTCTTTTTTTGGTCCTTTAGATATGTGCATCAGCTTTGTTTTATCCGGATTTACAGAAAAATTGAGAAAATTGCATCTGTCGGCAAAGGAGTTGAGTGTAGTTTGTAGGTTTTGCTGTGCCTCCAACAGGTCAGCACCAGAAGATATGAAACAAAAATCATCAGCAAATTGCATAAGTTGGAGGTTATCATCTGTAAGATCGTGAAAGCTCGAGGTATATACATTGAAGAGCAGTGGAGATAGGCAGCTGCCCTGTGGTATACCATTATAGATCTCTGTACTATTGTTTCCTACCTTAAGTACTCTAAAGGCCAGGAAATTTATTATCCACTCAGTATAAAGACTTTCAACATTTAGTTCAAAGAGCTGGTTTTTTTATACCCGAGCGCACTTGTGCACAAGGGTATTATAACTTTGTTCACATAACGGTTGTTTGTAACAGGCAAAACGAATCGAGATAGATATAGACAAATGTATACATAAATGATCAGAATGAAAAGAGAAATCGATTAAGCGGTGACTGTCTGTCCGTCCGTCCGTCCGTCCGTCCGTCTGTGCACACGATAACTCGAGTAAAAATTGAGATATCTTAACGAAACTTGGTACGTGAACTTCTTTTGGGCGTGGGACAGATGGTATTGAAAATGGGCGAAATCGGATAATAACCACGCCTACCTCCCATATAACGGTAATTTTAAGAAATACGAAAACTGCGATATTTTAGTAACTACTGAAGCTAATTCACTCAAAATTGATACTTACAATGAGTTTCAGACGGAAAACATGAATATTATAAATTTTTGGAAAATGGGCGTAGCCACGCCCACTTATGGTTACATGTGTATATCTTGGTAACCGCTGCACCAATTTCTTCCAAACTTAGCACAGTTGTTGGCCTTAGTACAGCTTACTAAATGGCTGAAAATTTTAAAAATGGACAATAACCACGCCTACCTCCCATATAACGGTAATTTTCAGAAAAACGAAAACTGCGATATTTTAGTAACTACTGAAGATAATTCACTCAAAATTGATATTTGCAATGAGTTTTAGACGAAAAATAAGAATATTAGAAAATTTTGGCAAATGGGCGTAGCTTATATCGTTTTCATGGTTCCAAAAGGAGTTGCTTTGGTTGTAGTCGCCTCTTAGGGCTTTTACAAACCGCCACACACTTCTTCCACTGCCAGAATTGATTTCTTCAATTTTATTGTTAAAGTTTGCCTTTTTGGCTTTCTTAACTTCTCTTCTCCACTCTTTTTGTTGAATCATAAGATTTTCAAAATTTGCAGGACTGGGAAAATTTTTTGCTTTCTTAGAAGCTGCAGTCAGAAGTCTGTACATTTTGTTAAGATTGTCATTCCACCAGGCCTTGGGCTTCTTGTTATTTTTGACAATGTAGGTGGCATTGTTAATTTCTTCGGTTATTTTATTTTCAAAATCTTGTATATTAGCATCGCATTCTAGAGTTTTGAGTGAGGAGAGAAGTTTATTTTTGGCCATAAAAAGGCACGAGTTATTGTTAATTCCGCTGACTTCAATTGTTACAGGTAGATGATGACTGCCACCAATTCTGATGGCATCAACATGCCAACTGCAAGGTGAGCCACTATTTGTGAAAGAGAGGTCTAACACCGAGCCATTGTTTGAGCGTAGATCCCTTTAATACGTAAAGGAGCCATTGTTTAAGCAGAAAAGACTCGATTGCAAGATATGTTGGGTTAAGTGCTTGCCTCTATTGGACTCAAAGGTGTCACCCCATATCGTAGCCCTAGCATTGAAATCTCCAGTTACAAAAACATTTTCATGCCGATCAGCAAAATCAACAACTCGTAGCATTTCACTATTGAACTCACTAATGGCTACATTAGGAGGGAAGTACACAGTGACTAGAAAAATATTTGGGCTGAGGTTGAGAGTTTCAATTACTAGTATATCAAAATCTGCTATCGATTTCTCTTCTTCCAAAACTAATTTCAAACTACTTTTAAATAGTATGCTAAAATAGTTATCAATTTATACTTTGTTTTATCGGATAGTCTATACGAAATGTTTATTTTCTAGATTAAATAAATAAATAAATAAATTAAATCGGAGTTGAAAGTTACTCTTTTATATTTTATGTTGCGCTTTATGGCGATTGCCACATGTTGTAGCCAATTAACCTCCTGTGGGAAGAGTTGGCAGTAAGAAAAATTTCATTAAGGCATACAAAGTCGAATTGATGTTTGTTGATGTAAAATTCTAGAGAATCTATATTAGCTTTTAGAGATTGGATGTTATATTGCAGAATCTTCATTTTCAAGGAAGGAGGAGTTGTCATAATTAATAATAGCTCTCTCGTCATTGTTGTTCATAATCAAGTCAAATTGATTTTTAAGGAATTGAATCTGTTGAAAAGTGTTGTTATCTTGAGATTCGATTGAAATTTTTTGAGTGATTTTAAGGAGGTGAGTCATTAATCTCCATTTGGGATACTAATCCTTTTTGGTAAGCTTGTGATTCAAAGACAGGGCTATTTTTAACTTTGTTGTTGATTCTTTTAGGATATCTTGGTTGAGGTGCTTCATGTCTGACCTGCTGATTTTTGAGAATTGAGCTATAAGATTTTCTTGTTAAACTACGATTTATATTAGAATCTTTATCTATCGTTCTGATCACAGACTGAAGGAAAGGTAGTTCCGTCCTCCTCAAAAATGCTGAATCTGTTGTTATTTTTTGGATAATAGGTGTCCAGAACTTCTTTCCTTGACATTTTCTTGACCGTTTTGATGCGGTTAGCACACACGTGCACCCACTCACACGGCCTTTGTCACAAGAATCTTATTTTTTTTTTTTTTTTTTTTTGGTATAGGATGCTTAGAAAATTTTAATTCGCGACGAACCACCTTCGCCCTCAAATGCCAGAATCCGAATGATCAGCATGTATATGTAATTATGTGAGTAGCCTGCCAACGCAAAGTTTTTATTAGCCGCAAAAAGCACAAAACTTGTGAGTAACACACTCCCCAACCCGGTTTACTTGCATACAAAAGCCGGACCTACCCAAGAGTCTTAAGAAAATCAAATTATTTGGAATTAACATTTGGAGCGCTATGTAAATGATATTCTCGCTGATAATAAACAAAAAGTAATAAATACTAAATATGTAATTACCAGGGAACGGATTTTTAAGACCTAAAAACCTATAAAAAAAGGCAAAATAAAATAACGAAATAAGCTAGAAAAGGCAAAATAAAATAGCGACATAGGCAATAAAAGGCACTAGAAATCGCAAGAAAGGCAAAAGAAGGCATTAAAAAAAGATAAGAACCGAAAAATAAAAAATACATTTGGTTTAGAAATGTTTATTTTACAAGTAAAAAGAGAAAAAACCATGAAAAAACTATGAATTAGTTTCATGAGTTGAAAATTTTCTACTTTGATTCTTTTACTATTTTCTCCTCTCGAATTTTTAACTCGCAAAACTTTAATCACTATAATTGTAGAAACATTTAACCACAAGATGCATTTTGAAGTTTTCTGGCAGCATTTTCATTCGATTTTCGCGAGGAAAAGCCTAGAATGTACTAAACGTTCGTTCGACGTGAGTTGATAAATATGGAACGTTTAAAACTTTCATAATATAATAATAAGGGAATAATGGCCCTTTACAATTAAAGGTAGAAAAGGCAAATTTCTTAAAAAAGGCAACATCAAGTGTGTATATGTACATATGAAATCAGGGAAGGCTAAATTGTGGACGTTCTTAATCGGATATACTCTATCTCTTTAGCAGAAAAAAGGCAATTTCCATAAAATCCGTTCCCTAGCAATTACATACATATGTACATATATCAGTCGGATCTTACATATGGATAGCCATGTGTGGAGTGATTATAAATATTCACTACCTACAGACTCCAGCTTATTCATTATTCATGATTTTGAATAAATATGTATAGTAAGTACATACATACATACATATATACATACGTATTCATGTACATAACTCCATACAAGTCAACGTTGAAAATTGTAGACGCTGCCGGTGCTGTTGCAGAACTTCTCCCACTCAAATAACTCGCTTGATAACTTTCGTCAATTATTCGTGCCCTTATCTTAATCTATAGCAATTTCTTATGAAAGCAACCTGTATGAAAGCTTTTCTCATTGTCAGGAATTCATAGAATCAGTAGAAAATAATTTGTATTGCAAAGCCAGTGGTTGTACCAGAAGTAAAGTAAAAGATTTGCCAAGACATACTCAATTGCAAGATAATTAATATTTACAAACAAAATATTGTTATTTGTTTTAACTAATATCTATTTCTATTTTAGACACCACGAATCGTGCCAGTGTTTTGGTATTTGAATTAATTCAAATTGATGAATCAAGATTCAGTTTTGGCTAAATCTCCAGCGTCAAACACGCAAACTTCGCTTTGCAGTTGAGTACTGCGATGCTGAAACCAGAGATATGCCTTTTGTGATGCCATCGCCATACTTTGCATCATAAAATTTTATGACGAGCGATTTGCCTGCTTGATAAAATTTTTTAATCGGAGTATTACTTCATAAAATCACGCATAATAAGAACAGATTGGCACTTACACAATATGTTAGTATTTGGACGAGCTTCCGATTTGTGGCGTGCGCCTTGATGTTGTCAAGAGGACGGACCTACAGTTTCCGAACGCCGATTGTATTTTTATGGGAAGCTGTTTTTAATGCCAGAAATATCCTCGGAGGTTTGCCATTGCCTGCCGGGGGTCGACCGCTATTAGAAAAAACCTTTTCTTTTTTTATATCATTCGGAAACTGGGCTCGATCCCAGGCCTCGTGTAACCACTACACCATAGCGGCCTCCTTTCATGCATATGTATGTTTTAAAATTAAAATTAAAAGATGTCTTGTTATTAGTAGAAAATTTCAATTAATTTGATGGTCTGCCTTGAACACACAAATTTTAAAATCTACTCTCTGAGTGTTCTTGCGGGGAAGAGCTCCCTATCCCTTAATCCTATTTGAAATTTTAAACCAACTTGGTTTAATCTCAGGTTACTTCATTGATATGTTAGCAATTTATTCTAATATATTTAGTGTGATTACTCTTTTAGCTATTACATATTTGTGAGTTACATTCAATTAAAATACAGTGGAATGTGAAGATATTATTTTTTAGTTTCAGTATGGGGTATATAGCTTTTTATTTTAAATTAACCTTTTTTCCTTCTTTCAAATGATTAATTCAGCGTCAGTGTTTCAATTCTTTGAATAAATCCTATTTTTGTTTCAATTGATACCAGCTAGGTCTCTTTACTTCATAGCATGGACAACAGCAAAACAACAACTTACGACTAAGCCCAAATGTCTCCACAATGTAAATTAAAAAGAAAAAAATTATACACCATTTTGTGCAAATACCGTTCAATTGTCGTTATGTGGATTTGTTTATGCTTATTGTGTGTATGCATGTTTGTAATCGATTTTTTTGCAATTATAAATTTTGGAATGAACTGATATGCATTGGTGGCAAATATTTATTTTTAAAAATAATCTTTACGAAGTTGCTGCTGTAGCATCTAACAAAAGTGGTTAACTCTGTTTAATTAATAATGAAAATCGTAATATGTTTGTTTTAACTTTTATCTTGTTTTCTTTTTTAGCGTAATTTTATGCCAGGCTTATCTTATTAGCATTTGGTACAAAGTATGTGCATATATACATTTTCGGTATGCATATGCGTATGTATCGTTTGCTGGAAGAACGTCATGTCCCAAATAATAAAGTTAAAGTTCTTTAAAAAACTATAAAATAGGTAGTAAGTTTTTTCCTTGAAAAATAACCAACAAAACTTCATATTGAAAAGTTAAGTCCATAAGATAAAGGTCTGATTATGCATACTCTGCATAACTTCGCACAACCATTTGTACCAGTGCAATAAAAATGTAACTTAAGAAAATGTGAAGCAAAATCTAAACTCAACAGGGCGCTAAGTTTTAAAAGTTCTACTAGTTTCTGGGTAATGGAGTACATACAAAATACGTACAAGGTACATAAGAAATTACAGTTTGAAGTTTATGCCAAGTTTTCTTCATACATAAATGCACATGTATGTACATATTTGCGTGAATAAAATTACACGAAAAAGTACACTACAGTTACGAGAAAATAAAAATAATATATATATATATATAATATTTAATTTCGTAAAGAAACTTTTTAAAATAAAGCTTTTCTCAAAAATGTTATACATTTTTCACAGTTTATTCATTAACATAAATTTTTCTCTTCTATTTCCATAAATTTTGTACCTGGCCTTTTTAAGTTTATATTAATATATGTATAAAGACTTGTATTTATATAATTGTAGTTTTAATTTTATTTTAATACATATTATTTGCATTATTTGTATTGCGCAATAAAAGATTAATGCTTAATGCGGTAATGTATATAAATAAACAAATAGATGAAAATGAAAATGAAATTACTTTATTCAGCTAACTAATGGATAAATATTTACTTATAGTTTCAGAATCGGCCACAATTAAGCAGGAAATTGTAAAGTTACCTGCAATAATGTCCAATTGTAACTAGACAGATGTGCCAAATATTGAGGAGTTAAATACATTCGTGTCCAAGATTAACCACTAAAAAAGACTTTGAGTGCGGCCAAACTTTGGAAAAATAAATATCTATTTACGAGGCAGCGCGTTTAGATGGATCGGATCGATTGCGATTAAACAACAACAGCAATACGTATTGTTTTATGAAAATCCCAATTTTATGAATCTTTCTTATATATCTAATTAAAAATAAGGAAACCCTCCCAACTAGTCAAAGGCAAAAGAAAAGTAAATTTATAAAACAACAGTTTAAGAATAGAGGAGAAACCCATTAAAAAAGACAAGTGATTGAAACAGTTGCATTTAACATTACGTAAATTCTTTGCGGCTCTACCATTCTAGGCAATCTAGATTTGCCATTTCCTCGCATTATTAAAGGATCTCTTCATCGTGTATATCATACATATATAAATACTCGCTCACACACGTTCCATAGAGCCCAATCGTTGTGAAATAAATTCATATAAAATGGGCAACAAAAATTCCTGCTGCGCTTATTCCAGTCCTCAATCAGATCGAAAATCAAAAGACATACCACCCGTCTATGAGGAGCGTCATCACGTACATAGCAGCCATCACACTTCTTCATCACAACATCAGCTAGATGGTCATATTTCTGCTTCCACAGCGGCTATTCATCACAGTGATGGTACACTGGACAATCCGCATAATTTACAACATATTTCAGAACGTGAGGCGCTCGAAGGCGATGATGATCCTTCCGTTGACCCAACAGCGGCCACTATGTTCCTCGAACGATCCAAAGTCGAAAATGGTGGTATTTCACGTAAGCGCTCCCAGCATCAAATCGCTCAACAGGCGGCGAATTCAACTGGTGGTGGTCTGAAGAAAAGTTCATCTTGCTCCACCATCTATTTGGATGACAGCACTGTATCACAACCAAATCTCAAAAATACAGTGAAATGCGTCTCACTCGCCATTTATTATCACATCAAAAACCGACAGTCCAATCGTCGGCTAGATATTTTCGACGAAAAGCAGCATCCTCTTACGCATGATGCTGTTCCTGATGACTATGATTCGCATAATCCGGAACATAGACAGATCTACAAATTCGTGCGCACGCTCTTTAATGCGGCTCAACTGACTGCTGAATGTGCCATTATAACGCTAGTCTATCTTGAGCGTTTGCTCACTTATGCGGAATTAGATTTGGCACCGTGCAATTGGAAGCGTATGGTATTGGGTATGTTTGGTGAACACGTTTTTGATTTTGAATTGAGACGTAAGAATTTTAATTGATTCATTTCTATACAGGTGCCATACTGCTCGCCTCCAAAGTGTGGGATGATCAAGCTGTCTGGAATGTGGACTATTGTCAAATCTTAAAGGATATCACCGTTGAAGATATGAATGAACTTGAACGCCAATTCCTTGAGTTATTGCAATTCAATATTAATGTGCCCTCATCCGTCTATGCCAAATATTACTTTGACTTGCGTACGCTCGCCGAAGCGAACGACTTGTCATTCCCAACAGAGCCTCTCTCCAAGGAGCGGGCCCAAAAGTTGGAGGCCATGTCACGCGTTATGCAGGATAAAGTGACTGCCGAAGCATTGAAGAATGGAATGAAAAAGTGGTCATCAATGGACAACATAAGCCAAGGCGGGCCGCGACGTTCTGTGGCTATACTTTCGTGATTTTCGTTAGTTTATTAGATAGCATTTGATAAACTAAGGTTAAACAAAGAAGAAGTGCGTGAAACATTTAAATATTTTGATTATCAAATAATTATACGCACACTTTAGAAACTCACATTTCCTCAGGCCCATGGGAAACTCGTAACACACGATTTGTTCAAGTACGCAATTTTATACGTACGAAAACTTTTGAAAGTAGATTCTCAGAGAGAGGAAAGTCAGCAAAGGAGTATTTTGGTAGTTTGGTCTTACCATATATTGCGATTTCATTTTCATTGGAGACTGCAATCAAGTTTCATGCGAAAAAAGTTTCATCGTAAAATAGCTTATAAAAATCACTCACACTCCCTAGTGCGGGCACAATTGCCGTCAAAATGCGTCGGGCATTTCTGAAATGCAATGATAATGCTGTCATTACTTCCCCTAAAAATACTTCTCTTTATTTATACTGTTTAATCAAATGCAAAGCTCTTGACTGGAATCACAAACCATAAATATTAGAATCGCCTACTACTTCAGCTGCTTGTATGTAGCTGTAAATTACCAAGGAATTGTCCTTTTTCATGAGATTGAAATATATTTGAAAACCTAATTTTAGAGTCGCAAACATGCCTGCGAACTCGAGTGAACACACATAGGGTGCATACAATAGCAATACGATGTGGTTTAAAGCAAAAATATTTTTAACGGGAAAAAAATGGCAGACGCTGTTGAAATTTGTTTGCTTGCATTGAGTAAAGGATATCCCTCACGCACAGGAAAACATCAGAAATATATGCGAAATAATCTCAAGATACGAGTACACTTGCACATTGACACTTCCGTTAATAACCGGTAGCAGTAGCTATTTACAATAGTTTGTATTTATAAAACTCGAATTGTGCAAACCAAGCGCTAAGGACCATTTTAAGTAGCTTTTAATAAATGTTATTCAAGTATAAATACAGAGAGAAGTAGAATATTCAGATTTTAAAAATAAAGAATCAGTGGGGAAAAAAAATTAAAGTAGATTACGATTTAATATGAATGAAAACACGAATTGTATGCTTTAAAAAGCTTAATAAGACTCCAAAGTACGCAGATATTTTTAGTACTAAAGGAAATCATAAATAAAAAAACACGATTCAACGTCAAACAATTATTTCATAATCAAGATTATTTTGTAAATGTTTTTTATATTTGTAAAACTAAAACTATAATTTATCAGACTTAAACGGACTTTAGTTACCAAAATCATCGACTCTAATACATAAAACAAAGAATTGTATATTTTTTGTATAAAAATTATTTTTGTGATCATAAAAATGTGTTAATGCAATTTCACTCTAGGTGGTTTTCAAAAATGCGTTTTAATTATCGTATACACCTATTTTAAAATCTTAAATCTAAAAAAAACATTTAATTGTTCTTAAGTAACACTAAAAAGTAACGAACAAAAATAAATTACTTGAAACTCTTTAAGCTCATAACATTACTGCAAAGTATCTATGTAAGATTTACTTTTATAAACATAATAATGACTAAACGCAATTGCAGATTTCAACGGAAAAGTCCAACCATAAAAAAGGCATAAAGCGATAACAAAGTAACCAAAAAACATGTAATTTTTAGTAGAGTATAGCGAAAGATATACGATATTTGTAAAATTAATATTAAAAAAATCGATATGCATCAAAGCGAATAATAACACAGAAGAAATAACAGAAATATTTTTTAATTTGTAATTTATTTTACACATACATACATACACGAATTTGGTTTAATAAAAGAATAATTAAAATTTACTCCTGTAGCAATTGGTTTTACGTAGTCCACCGCTTCGCAGTTGAACAGATACAGTATTTTTAAATGTTGATCCCTTAATTTATGTGAGGAACATTACGACACATAACAGAAATTTCAGAAACACTTAACAAAAATGTGAGAGCCAAATAGTTTTATAAGAGAAACCCTTTATCCTTAGGTAAGAAGCTTGATAATAGAATCCCTGATTTCCTAAATTGTTTGTTGCTTAATCCTTGGATCGTTCTTTAGGAATCATTCCCCACCCCTTTGTTTGATGGTCGCTCATTAAGAATCGATGGAATTTATATCGGTACTAAAAAATGCCGATAACTATGCAGACAAATATTTCAAGAATGTGGTGTTAGGGCGGTAGCATATTTACTAAAGAGATTACCATTATAACTAAAAGTAGAAATTCACACCAGGTTTTAATCTGAAAAGCGCTGATAAAGTTCTACTCTATGAGTTTCGCTGAGTCTCAAATTGCATCAATGCAAAGCGGAAGCCTCTTTTATTTCCAAACTGTAACTGATGAAAATGTCCAATATGGGCAACCACGTTCAAATGCCGAATTAGGACGTACTTGCGCAAATTGGGGCTTTCCATCAATTATAGTTTAGAAATAGAAGAGGCTGATGCTTTATATTGATGCTATTTGGAAGTCAGACTGTGGCGGCAAAAAGTTAGTCACCCTACTATTAGCTATTAAAACTTAGTTTGAGATATCCTTGTATGTAAAATCTGGTAACACTGTTTCATGTTTCATTTTCAAATTGACATTCTTTTTCTTGAAACATTCTAGAATGTAGATACATAATTATTTTTCTTTTTCTTTACGCCTTCTTGGTAACCACTCAAAAACGTGTATACGAGTGCTACTCACCTCGCGAAGATACAGATTATTTGACACTTGATTTTGTAATAATTATAATTTAATAAAGAGCTAACTGAAGAGTTTGCTGAGTAAAAACACAACCGGTGTGTAAACATTTAAGGCCCGTCCACATAGAACTTTGGCGTTGCGTTGGCGTTGGCGTCGCTTCAACAGCTGACTATGAATACATGAATTCAAATGCAGCCGTCCACATAGCCAAAATTCGACAACGCTCACGCCAACACAAAGCAAAAAGATGGCCAACTCTCATCTTTTCGCGTGCGTCGCTCGTCAGCTGTTGCAAATAAATAAAATTATGTGAAATATTTTCCTTTTTAATCAAGTGCGGGCAAGAAATATCGTTTTTAATGCAATTATTGATATGAAATATTAATTTATCTGTCGTTAGTATATTAATGTAGTGGCCCAAGCATTCGCTGCCAAGCGCTCATTGTAGCAAGCATACTTTTAACGTGCGTTCTGTCAAACCAACGCCAACGCCAAAGCTAACACGAAAGTTCTATGTGGACCGGCCTTTACTGTCATACCACTTGGCGTTAGGAACTCGGTAGTGGGACCTGCGCTAACACCGTAACGAGCCAGGAGCTCCCCACAAGACTATATAATTTATGGAAAAAAGTTTTTTGGTGCAAGCCGAGCGAGTCCTTTCCTAGCTGAAAGATTTACTTAACAACAATGCAGCTCTTAACGATGTTTTCAATTCAAGATTAATCAAAAGTCATATTTCTAAAAACTTATCCGTTTTGGTTACGATAAAATTTTAATAGGATTTCTTTCACGATGGCTCTCATTCGGCAGTTTGCTATTGATTTTGAATAGAAAAATTTAAAGTGAACTGTGAAAACGGGCCTTGGGAGTGGATAGTTAATTCGGTGCTAATTTCGTTAAGTTATACCATGATACAAAAATTAAATATTAAATATTTGTATCATGAAGTTATCCCTGTGTTGAGAAATGCATCAAGCCAAAGCATCAGTCTCTTTTATTTCTTAATTATAATTGACGGAAAAGTCCAATATGCGCAGCCCGCGTTTAATATCGAATTTGAACTTAGCTGCGCAAAAAAGCCATTTCCATCAGTTATTGATTAGGAATAAAAGAGACTGGGTTGATGCAGTTCTGAACACAGCCTAATACTAGGTTCACATATAAGTAGATTATCCTCATTTTCGAGCTTAACACCCTAATCTGTAATTATAACAAGAGATTAGCCATATAAAATTCCTCCCTTGTTAATCTGTAATTATAAAATAATCTCAGATTTAACCGATATCTTTTCGGTGTCCATCCTAGTTTTATCGATTGTTTTTGCGAAAGAGAGGAGAAGTGCCAAATGTAAAAGTAAACAAAAATGTAAGCTAGAAAGTAAAAGAGGTTTGTAAAGGTATTTTTAATAAAATGTTAAGTTAAAATATATTTATATTGCTCATTATGGCAGAAAAACGTGATCACGGTCGCACAGAAAAGAAACATAAATTTTCCTTGAGATGTGAGAATAACAAGCGAAACAAATTTGACGGCTAATAATCTGAGATTGGCCTGTGTAAACAGGGTGATTAAAAAACTAGCTTTGATTGAGACAATATTGATATGTGAACATAGTTTTATATTAGGTTAGGTTAAGATGTTGGTTAAGAAGAAATGTTAAAATATAACGTTTGTTCGTCGAAAATCCAGCAAGAATTATCCAACACTCAAAATATCAGAGAGTAAGAAAAAATTCTCTCTCATGTTGAGAAACTTGCAAATTTCTGCACGAACGCAAATTTGCAGGAATTTGCAAGTTTCGCTGCCAGCTGGCGTCCACGGTTGCATTTCAAACATAAAAAATTTTTATAGGATTTTTAAAATTCTTTCGGATGGCCAAAAAAGGATATACATGTATATTTCTTGTTGTTCTGACTTTCTTTAACATACATTTCAATTTCTTCATCGTACTAGCTGTCGGGTTTCTTAAATCGACTCTGCTTGCAATTGCATTCCGATTGCGAATACCATTTTTTTCAGCCGAATTAAGTTCAAATCATTGGAATTAACTAAATTAATTATATCAACAATTATTTACTTCCTTTTTTCATAAAAAAATCGCTCGTGTTTATAAATTTATAAATTTAACGAACTAATTTATTCAAATTATTGTAGACAAAAATGCAACCATGCGCCACAACCACATGTTTTTCGTGTTTGCAAATTCTTGCTGGCAAAATTTTTTCCAGCAAGAATTTGCAACTTCTCTCCAAGAGAACTGTCACTTTGCTCTCACAATTTTTGAGTGTTGGATAATTTTTTGGTCTGCACGAACGCGATTTGGGCAAAAATCGTGATAATTCGTACAAATTCGTACAAATTTTTTGCTCGACGAACAAACCTATAATAGTTGCGTTCCAGATGCTTCACGATACTCACGATTTGCAGGAACAGCTGTTTTCTCTATTAATAAATCTTATGGAAGGTGGTCACCTGGAACGACTTCCTGTAAAAACCTGCAAATCGTGAAGCATCTGGAACGCAACTAATTTCACCTCGCCGTCCACAAACAGCTGCTACAGCCAGGATCAGATGTGATGTTTGGTCTCAATACACACACCAGAAGTGAGTGTTGCTACTTCGTGAGCCTAAGGAGACTCCTTTACCACTCGCAATATACCCTAGGCCAGAAAGAACTTGTAGTATCACATGTTCTGGTTTTCGCCCAGCGCTCGTTGAGCTTACGCGAGGTGCTTCTGTCAAAAAGTAGTCTACTCATTCCTAAACACTCTCCTTTCTTTGTGTGACGGTCTTAAGCGTGGCTTTCCTGGCTAACTCATCCGCCAGGCAGTTTCCTACAAATCCTTTTTGTCCGCCAGCCATATAAGCCTGAATAGGAAATACTCAGCTGCGACCGAAGGAGACGTCAGTCATTTCCAACTAGCGTTGTGGTTAGACTTGCGCGAGTATCTGTTCGCGATTGAACGCGGACCGCTTAGTCAGCTGGTTCTAAAAATCTTGAATCGGTCACAATTAATCACCGGCATTTTCACTTCAGCGGCCAGCAAGTCGGAAGACGCCACCTTGATGCTGGACGGTAGGCACTTCCCCTCCCACCATGACGGTTCTGTTTCAAAGCTTAATTAGGTCGGTTTGGACCTCATAATTGGCTAGTAATTTTCCCCGAAAGGACATTTTTAACAGCTTTCTTGAAGAAGGCTCCCGCATTGAAGTATTTGTGTGTGAAAGCTTCCTCTATCGATTTTGTGATTATGTGAAGGGCAGTCTTGACCGACCTACCCTTTATTCACTCATGTGGAGCTCTTGATGATCAACCACAACGAATCCTGTTCTTAATCTATAAATGAATCACCCTGGGTTTAAACAAAAACAAAGAGTGACTGAGTTAACATAGTTTTCTCCTGGGGCTAGGTTGCATGAGAAGTGGACACCTAGAAGAAGTTTAGCGACTATTCACTAATTACCTAATTAGCCCGCCTCAAATAACCAAGGTATTGCCGGGTGCAGAAGCCGACGCATGTGGGGAAAGAATTAATTAACATTCACTAGGCAGAGGCCCAAAATAAGTATTTTGCATCCGGTTCAAGCAGATCACGACTTCCGGTGTTTACACCAAGTATCTTGTGGGTATCAACCGAATACCCGTTGTAAAGCATGCTAATGTGATTGCCTTTTCATAGCCATGGGTTATCTGTTTTGTTTGTTACGACGACTTCTAATGAAAAGAACAATAAAGCCTCGGACGAGACCCACCCTCTCCCCTCTTATGGTGACTACCACGACAAACGTGTAAAGGACTAAGAATTGAGGGCATGCATCTAGAATTTCCAGACCCT